CTGTTGACTATGTCTTCTTTAGAGTAATGTCTATTAATTTCTTTTTCCATTTTTTAAACAAAATCTGTTTATACTAGCAGATGGCCTTGTCTCTGTCTGATCTGATCCCAGCTTATTGCTAACAAGATAGCCCCTGACTAAGACCATTCTAACAAGGAAGAAGTTAGGGTGTGTGTGTGTGTGTGTGTGTGTGGTGAAACACAATTAGGAAGTGAAGACAGAATACATGAAACAGAATAAACTCTTTATTCACAGGTCCCAGAGAGATGAAAGGTATCCACAGAATGCTGGAGGGAAGGCTGGAGACATCAGAGAGGTCACCTGGCCCTGTGCCTTTATTAAGGACAGTGGGCTTCCTCCCTTAGGTTTTTCTGTGTGGGATGTAGGTTGGCTAATTTGAAAAAGTCACCAGTGAAGGGAGAGTAAACTTACAAGACTCTGGACTAGTTGTTACTTTTTATCACAGCCAGAATCTGTGGGTGGCATTGGGTTATAAAGCAGCAAGATGAGGAACAAGCTCCATATAGCAAACAACCAATCCAAAGATTATGGGGCATGATGGATTTGTTTTAAAATTACCCGTTACTGCCTGGAACTGCCATTTCTTAAGAAACTGGAAGTAATTTAAATACATTTTGTGCATAATTAAAAATATCTTCTAATCTCAGTGTTGGTGGTAAATAGAATATAGCGTTAGATTTGACTCAGTTTCCTTCCAGTTCCTATGTATTAGCTACTGAAAGATTGAGGTCATTGTGTGATTGAGGTTCAGAGCCCAGTGAAGAAACAGATAACATAGTAATTAGTATTGTGAACCAGATTCTGCATGAGGAACAGCATGCTGGCCCTGCCCCAGAGGTGGTCTCGCCCTGAGAACGCTGTATTATCACAGCAGGTGATGGCAATGTGATAAGTGAGAAATAAACACCTCTGCCTGGGTAAAACCATCTTCAAGGGACACACCTGTGATGGTGCAAGTGGGGCCGTGTCTTCCTGCTTGTATGGGCACTCCACACCCTCACACCCTGATCGCACACCCAGAGGAGAACACGTTCTCATGATGGATCTCCTTGGAAATGGAACAGGATCCTTCTCCTTTGATTCAGAAACACAGTCAACAGCATCAATGAAGGAACACGAGATGGATGCAAAAGGTTTGCCTTGGCTATCACTTCAACGGTGTTCTTAATTGGAGAGAACGCCAATCCCCAGTGACCCAGAAGGCTGACTTCTTAAAGGCTTCAGCTTTAAACTTGCCTTTGAAAACAGCAGGAATCCTAGTTCCACACATTTGGAGAACGGTGAATAATTGGGTGAGTTTTTCCTCACTGGTACCACAGGAAGCTTGCGTCCACAATTAGAAACATCTCCTACCTGCCTCTTGGACTCTCTGAAGAAGTTACTTCTTGTGAAAGAATCTTGAACTTGATAAGAAGATCTTAGGGTATTTGACAGATATTCACATTTTCTAATGATTAACTCATTATTTGGCCAAGTATTGAATATGTGGGTGTAGTTTTTGCATCCAATTATAGCATTGAAGTATCTTTCAAAATATAAAAGCTATCAATTGAATCAACTTCACTGAATAAGCTCAACTATACCTAATACTCTCAAAGCATGTCAGTCATTCACATTTAATAGATGTTTGCCTTGTCTGTGATGTTTATTCCTTGTGTAGGGAACTTGAATTAGAAATGTGGTTTTATACTTCTGTTTTAACTTGAGTTAGATCAAGCTATTTTATTTGCTCTATTTTTATATCTCTGAGCAACTTTAAAAGACTTAAATAAATGAGCCTCTGTGAAATAAAGCCTTGGTAAATAAAATATGTGATTCCCCAAAAGTACCCATAGGTCTGACACAGGAATGACACTTGGTGGCAGTGGAGCGATACTGGTGGTTTTAATCCTGGCTGTCATCTTGGCACCTTGGCTGCAGCCCAGACAGAGACTGATAAATTATTATAGACCCTAAATTTTAGAAGTTACAACAGCATCACCATCTCCATGGTGTCAAATTTGATGGAGTTAGTTGCTTTTCCACTGACTGTTCTTACATTTCATGAAAAGAATGAGCAATTAGGAAAGTTTTTTTTTTGAGACTTTCATTTATAAATCTATTGGTCAAGCTGAGTGATCATAGAGCTTCATAGGCAATCTCGGAGCTCAAGTCTTCACTAGAGAAAAGTAATTTCTCTGTCTCTGTCTCTCTCTCTCTCATACACACACACACACACACACACACACACACACACACACTCAAATAGAACAGAAAAGTATCAGCCACACTGATCTTTCTTTGAATTCAAATCCCAACCATGCCACTCACCAATTCTGTTAAATATGTGACAAAACCTCATTATGACAAATACTACTTGCTTTTATTAATTTTATTTTGAAAGAACTTATTGATGATTATACTTAGAGAAATATAATCGCCCCAGCATTTTATCTGATAGTTTGTTTGTTCAAACTTTTTATAAATTATTGTATAGTAAATAATATATGCTTCTAAGAAAAATAAAAATGTAATGCAATTTAAAAACAATAAATGAATATAAAGTAGAAAAACAAATGAAACAGAAAAAATAAATCTCTACATTACTGATGAGAATACGTAAATTTCAGAAAGAGAATTTATCAATACCTTTTCACAATTAAAATGTTCATACACTTGGTAATGAAGTTCTATTGCAAAAATTTATCTTACAGAGCTCCTTAGATCAATTTATTGGCATGTCGCTGTTAATACACATGTAAATAAAAAGGCACAGATTGTGCGCTTATCCGGAAAAACACGCAAAGGCTGTCCCTGCAGCACTGTCAGAGCAGCAAAAAGTAGAAATAGTGTAAATATTTGCATCTTGACTTGGGGCGCTATCGATGAGCAATTATTCATTAACATGAGCTGCGGAATGCGTTTACACAGATGCCGTGACCTGCGGTGCTGTAAGTGCAGCATTACGTTGCTAACTCAGCAACCCTAAGGGGATGTGTGTCTGAGAGAGCACAAGACTGTCACCCGGTACAGCAGCTGCGAAGTGTGCCCTGCGGAGGCCCTGGCACCCTCGCTCTGCCATACGACGTCTCTTCTGCCCTCTAGAGCTTCTCTCTCGTTATCCTCGGTCTTCCTGCTCCCAGGAAGGTCCAGCTTGGGGTACTTTGCTCATTCCTCTTTTATCTCAGTCACTTACATGGGCTCAGTTCCAAACCTACAGTTCTACCCTCCCTGTGAGGAAATGGGCCTCATCACACGGGTTTCTGATGCACTCATTGGTTGTCTCCGTAACACTTGGGAACAAGAAGGAAAGTGGAGCAAAGGCACTAACTGTAATCATGCTGCCTTCTCTGGCATAGTCCTTCAGTCTTTAAAGGTGATGCCTCTTCTTCTACTGCAGGGGAAGAAGACATGACAAAGGCAGCTGATGGTGTCACTAAGCACCGAACTGCAAATCAAGGTGCCATTGATTTTTTAGCTTTGGCCGAAGAAGGTCTAGGAAGACAAATGTTACAGTGAACAGCTGGTACGTGACAGAAACACAGCCAGACCCTGCTGACAGATTTGCTGTCCAGCCTGGGGGATGGGTCAGCACAGCCTTATGTGACCCCCAGTGTGCCTCAGTGGTAAATGTCTGGGATTGCACTGGTACCTGATGTACCTGTGAGACAGGAGGTGCAAGTGCTGGGAGGGCTCTGCAAAGCAGGGCAGAGAAGAAACTGCTTAGGAATGATCATGTGCCTGGATGGAAAACAAACACAGAGGGTGATCAGACAATCACAACACTTCATAGCTGCTGTTTGTGATGATTAGACAAGCACAAGTCCCTCAGCAGCTTGCCTAGAGTGAGTATGCAGTCTAAACAGGGCAGCTATGGTTCTGATCTCCTGAAGTGCTCTACTGCAGAAGCAGAAGCATGGGGACGCTGAGATTGCCAAGCCAGCTTGCTGTATCCTGTTGAGGACCCAGGGGAGGGTTTGCTGTAGCTGAGTCCAGAGATATTCCAAACACTGGTTCCACAAAACACTAGTTAAATAATGGCACACAGAAATGTAAATACCAAGGATTTATTGTGCTTTACCCTGGGCATCGTAGTGGTGCTTGCCATATGAGATCATGCATCCTGACCAAAAACCCAGCCCCATAGTCTACCTGAAACTAAGTTTAAGCTCCATCTAGCAGACAAAGAGAGCTGGAAGAAATGAATCAGGCTGATTCTGGTTCAAATTAGTTCTATAGTGGATTTAAAGGTTAGCTGCATCCTCACAGTTTGTAATCTCTATCAGCAATATATCCATTGGGATCTTATAATCCCAATTTTAGGTATATGATGCTTGTTTAAAATTTAGAAGCATAACAAATTTACAAAATCATTCACGCACCTTTTGAATAAGAGCACAAGACAAATTCATAAAGCAGGGCAATGACTGTGTTGCACAGTCTCTAACACGGTGGTTGGTGAATGGTCACCTCCAAGCACAACTAACAGGGGACACCATGTTCGTATTTGTGAGCACCCAGTCCAGAGCTGGAAAACACAGTTTGTATTAAAGCCTCACTGTTCACCGGGTAGGAAACCGGAGTTAAGTTTTCTAATCTATGTTAGAGTCCATCTCTTTATCTGTAAAATGAAGCTAATTATAGGATGACTCTCATGCCTGGAGTGTGGTCGGTTCTCCAAAGAAGGTGTTTACCACTAATAACAATCCTAAAGGTAGAAGGAGTAGGAGGAAAACCTGCTTGAAAATGGAACAGCAACTTGAAAGACAGGAGAAAAGGCACCAGAAAACTTTGGCTTTGTGAAGTATCTATATGTAAATTCCCCATTTAGTGTATTTTCTTTAAGGTCAACTCTAGGATGGTGAATACATAAATAAATAAATAAGAAGCACCTTGGGACCCTGAAAACATGGGAAGCCATTTAATCAGTAATTACAAGCTCTATGTTTCTTTTTCAGATTTCCCAAATCTGTCTTCTTTTTTAGGTTATCCGTATTGAACAAATGGGAAATAAAAACAATGTGACAGAATTCATCCTTTTGGGTCTCACAGAGAACCCAGAGCTGCGGAGACTCTTTTCTGCTGTGTTTCTGATCATGTATGTGATCGTCGTGTTGGGAAATTTACTCATTGTGGGAACCATGACCACAAGTCCGAGTCTGAGATCGCCTCTGTACTTTTTTCTCACCTTTCTGTCCCTTTTGGATGTCACCTCCTCCTCTGTCATTGCCCCCAAGCTGATTGTGGACTCCCTCTCTGAGCGCACCACCATCTCCTTTGAAGGCTGCATGAGCCAGCTCTTTGCAGAGCACTTCTTTGGAGGGGTGGCCATCCTCATCCTTGTTGTGATGGCCTATGACCGCTACGTGGCCATCTGCAAGCCCCTGCACTACGTGAGCATTATGCGGCCTCGGCTGTGTTGCTTGCTGTTGGGGGCAGCTTGGGTAGGGGGATTCCTGCATGCAACAATTCAGCTTCTCTTCATGTATCAAATACCCTTCTGCGGTCCCAATGTCATTGATCACTTTATATGTGACTTGTTTCAGCTGCTGGCACTGGCCTGCACAGACACCCACACCCTGGGCCTCCTGGTCATCCTCAACAGTGGTGTGATGTGCGTGGCCATCTTCCTTATCCTCATCACGTCCTACGTGGTCATCCTACATTCTCTGAAGTCCCACAGCCTCGAAGGGAGGCGCAAAGCCATCTCCACCTGTGGCTCCCACCTCACGGTGATCATGCTGTTCTTCGTGCCTTGCATTTTCTTGTATGTGAGGCCCGTGGCTACTTACCCCATTGACAAGGCCATGGCTGTGTCGGAGTCCATCATCACACCCATGCTGAATCCCCTGATCTACACACTGAGAAATGCAGAGGTGAAGAGCGCCATGAAGAAACTGTGGATGAAACAAGAGACTTAGGCAAGAGCTGACTGTCTTGCTGTGGGAGGCACGTTTTCCTTAAGATATGATTCATCTTTTGCAAAAGGGAACCAAAAGATGGACAGAGGGGGAAAGGAGGGGAGGGGAGGGGGTAAAAAGAATCAGGCTGCGTTATGTGCACCAACCCGCCGCGATGAATGTAATCACTATGTGCTACAGACAGGCACTAATAAAAAAAGCCGTAGATATGAAAGGATCATTGGTTCAGTAATACATGGGAACTGGAACTGTCCGTTCTCTACTGACAATCAGGGATCTTTTATATTTAAAAGTTTCAAAAATCTGTGTTGCGATTTAGAGCATTTACAGTTCAGGTTTCATGATACTCTTCCACTTTTCCCTTGGCTGTAGAAGGTCTTGCCCTGTCCCAGAACTCTCTGCTTCGTCCTCCTCCTACCTCTACCTCTCCAAGCACATCTTGAATTTCTCACCACGTCCCTCTGTGCTGCAGTTGTGTTACTCTTTTTCCAAACTGTCCCAAGGACAAAGAAAGCCTTTTCTCTCCTCAGGGCTCCTGCTTCTGTCTGTCTCCCAATGGGGCCCTTTCCCTAAGGTGATGGTCTCTCCAACTTCACCCCAAATGTAACACTTGCAGTGCAGCCTTTTCATGTAGCTCTGTTCAGAGTCTTCCATTCCTGCCGTTCTTCTCCAGCTCAGACTCCCATGGTCTTAGCAACAATGACCAAGTTGTCAGCATTTTGATATAATTACCAGCTGACTTATCTATCCTATTTTCCACCCCTGGGTAGACTGGAGGTTTGTGAGAGTCAGACTTCTGTTTCATGTGTGTTTTGTACTTACCAAGTTTGTGATAACTGTCTGTTGAGCGATTATAGAATATAAAAGAGACCTATTTCTAAGTAATCAAATTCAAGTAGAGGGAAAAGGAGGGTATCAGTGAGTAACTGAAGATAAGGGAAAGAATTGGAGAGACCCCTAGAAGAAGTTCACAGAAAAGCAAAGTTACAGTTATTTATTGCCAGGAACGTCTTGGAGAAGGGCTCTTTTAGTACAATATCTGTTCAGCTCATTTATTTTGCTACTTGACATACATTGTTTCAAACCCACTTTACCCTTCAAGCTTCCATTGATAAATCAGCTGTTATTTGAATGGTGGTGTAAGTGGCTTGACATTTTTGTCTTACAGATTTTCTTATTTTTTCTTTGTTCTGTGCTTTCAACGTCTTAACGATATGATGGGAGGAAGTTCCTCTGGGTCATGCCTGTGTGCAGTTCGATTTGCCTCCTGTGCCTGGAGATTCAGTACTTTTTCAAGACATGGTACATTTTTTGAGATTATTGTACTGAATAGAGTTTCCCTGATATTGGCCTGTATCTTGATGCCCTATTTTAGTCTCCAAACTCTTTCAATTATATTCTAATGTTATGGGAATTGTTAACTATGGGAGTATTAACATTTAATCATTCCCTTGCTTTTTTCATATTTATGTGAAATATATTGAGATTTCTATGTTGCGTGTTTCTCTGTTTCCTAGAAACAAATGTGTTTCCATGTTGAGACCTGCACAGGAGTTGGGGCAGAGTTCTCAGTTTTATGAGAGGCTTTCTTAGGAGGGAGGCTTCCCTTGGGGAAGTGCCTGGGCTACGAGTCCATTGAATGGTGTTTAGTTCTAAGCAGATTCGGTTACATAGCCTTGCTGTAGCTTCTGTCTGTTACCAGTGCAAACTGACAGCGCCTACTTCCCGAGAAGTTGTGTCACCCACTGACCCTAAGTCTCACAGTGCAGGACCCCTCAGTGGTGGAGGCAGCTGCGTGTGAATCAGCAGAATGTATTTGCCGGACCCCTGTGAGGACTTCTCCATTTTTGTTGTAACACAGCGAGTTCTGAAAGACCCTGGTCACAATTTAGTTGTGTAGGTGCAGTGCTGGGCAGAGGTGTAGGGCTTGTCTCCGTCCTTTCAGCGAAGATAAGTGCGCGAAATTGAGACTCGTCCCGCCCTAGCTGTGCTTCCACGGGACGAGGTTGCTGCCTGGCTGCCTCGGTGGCTGCTGTCTTCTATGCCCAAGCACCAGTCAAGGCTCCAGTGAGGTGAGGCCATTCCTCGAGCGAGGTGTGAGCTCTCCTGACGGGGCTGGAGGTGCAGCTCTGCCGCACATCACCCAGGGAGCGCAGAGGGGCCTGTGTCCGGGCCTCAGCACCGCCCAGAGGGGAGACGACCTAGCCCAGTAACAAGCCCCACGCATGAGTAATGAAACCTTCCAGGAGAGCAAAAGGCCCATCACCTGTAAACAAGAGCGAAGAGACACGCTATCCTATACTCTGAAGAGGTGAAAAGTAATAAAACAAAACATGAAAACAAAGGAGACAAAAGAATAGCAGAAGATGGAAAAAAGGGGAAGGAAAAGAGAAAATAGTAAGAAGATAGATATAAAATAATGGAAAAGGGGAAAGGCAGAAAAGAGAGATTAAGACATCAATTGAAGAGGCAAACAATGGTGACAAAGTTGATTAAAAGTATAGAAAAATAGTTATAGGTGTGGTGGTTCATGTTTGAAATCTAACACTCAGTAGGCTGAGGCAGGAAAATCACAAGTTTAAAGCCAGCCTGGGTTATATAGTGATTTTAAGACCAGTGTGCTAGGTAGCAGGACCTGAGTATGAAAAAACAGTGAAATTTTGAAAAAGGAAAATAAATAAAATACAGATACTAGAAAATAGGCTGGATGGAGAGAGACTGGAAAGAGAAAAAATGAAACTCAGACACTAAAGCAAAAGTACTCTTGGAAATCTCCCCAAGCTAAGACCGTCTGTTTAGAGTCCCCCCCAGAATGGGGTGGGGGATGGGAGGCTGATGGGATTGGCTTCCTTCCTCTCGGCTGTGTGGCACCCACCGGGACAGTCCACAGGCCACGGTTCACGCTTCTCCCTGGGCGTGGATAGGACCCCGCTCCCCGGAGAGGGTCTCTGCTGGATGCCCTGGTCTGTGCACAGCGTTACCCGGGTGTGTTTCGGCTTTGTCCCTTTAGTTTGGGCCTGGATGCCATACTGCACAGTCTCTAAAAGTGAAAGAAGAGGAGAGTATTAGCTGCTGTCTGTCAGCCCTCGATTCTGTTATGTGGAGGTTACGAGTGGACAGCGCTATCCAGATACTATTGGCTTAGAAGAAATTCCATTTTAAGTAACAGAAAAAACATTTTCTCTAATTTTTGTTTCATAGCTTATGACAACACATGCCAATCCTCCAGGGTCTAGTTCCCCAAAGTCAAGCACTTAGATGTGAAACAAACAACGTGGCCATAATACAGCTGCAATGTCGGAATCTTCCATAAAGGCATCTCAAGCTTCCTCCAAAATTTCTGATGATTTGAAAAATTTTAGTTGCCTTCTTTTCAATTCTATTTCTCAAGAGCCACCCACTGCCTTTAAAGGAATGGTAAATTTTGTTAGAAAATTTTAAGTTTGAGGGAAATTGTTCATGTGGTTTATTAATCGATGCAAGGGAGTAATCAATTTAAAATGTACAACAGGTAGATCTGGCTTTTGGTGAGTACCTGCAATGTGGGGCATATTTCATTCTCACGTGATCTGTACCAAAATCTGGAAAAACATTTTGGAAAGAACAAATCCAGGTGATCTGGAGGAGATAAATACTGATAATTTAATTTAGGTAACAGTAATTGTTAAACATGACAAACTGTAACTGCAAGGTCATTTTTCTGAATTGAAAGGTTTATACTTAAATGCCATGTTAAGTATACTTGTATATGTAGAGGTTTTAAAAGAAATACGCAATGTGAAATTTTGCCCTCTTAAAATTTAATCAATTTGTAATAAATAGGGTAAAAGACACAGATATGAAAAACAAGTAAAATAAAGAATATGTGAGACTTTGGAAAGATGCCAATAATAAAGGTGCAAGAAAAATAGCCTAGGTGAAAACAGTGATATTTGAAATATCCAGAAACTTTTCTTGAAAGAGCTACATAAGAAACTAGCCATTCTAAAAGGATGTAATAAAAAACACTAGAGGAGGAATGGCATCCCAGTAGATTGGAAAAAATAATGTTTTGTAGAATAAAATTTTTGAATGGTTTTAACTGGACATTATTAGTGATAGAATATGTCATAGACTTCCTGAGCAGCCCTATAGAAACCTACATAAAATGCTTTTCAATGTCAAGCCTTCTATACTAGAGTGCTGCCTTGGCACTTACATTGTTGTGTTCCGGGTACAGAGTGGTTGGATATTTTGAATGTGTTTATCATTTTTCTGACAATAGTCCTAATTTGAAATTATAAAATAAAAATCTCAAAGAACAAAATTGTAACGTTGTGTCAGTGGGAAAATTAAGAAAATATCACTGCATGGTGAAATCAATGCAATTGATGAATCAAAAATGAAAATTACTTCAGGTAAAACTAAAAGCACTGCAGAATGAAAAGCATAGGACCTCTTTTTGTCTAATGCCATAAACACAAGCACAGTGATTCAGAATCCCCCACGGTACACTGCTTCAATGGCTCCAAATTACACCGTGACTGTACAAAATCATCACCATGACATCATTTTAGAGGTTATTGTACTCTTTTCATTCTTGTGTAGCTATTCTATTTATAAAGTGTTAAATATGCAGTGGGGACCTGGCTTTCCAAACTGAGAAATGAGTCGATCATTTTTAAATTATTTGAACTCGCCAGTGTTGTCAGGATTCTTTGTACTTTAAATTAAATCCATGTGCCAACCACACTGTGAGTAGCCTTCCAACGGTCAGATGAAAGAAAATTTAGTAAAGGATCAGCAAAACTCCCAATCATAATAGAGTAAAAGTGGAATCGTCACTAATTATCAGTAATTCTAAAGACAAATGAAATTATGGTAAAGGATTCTAGGCAAAGAGCCCATAGAAGTCAAGAAGTGTGGTCCATCCTATGCTACTAAAATGAAAGCAATGGGAAGGAGAGAATCAACTAGGAGCATGTAATAATAAATCTTTAACTTGGCCTAAAAATTGTAAG